GCAGCGCGCCACGTTCCCCCTCCTCCCCCCTCCCTCCCTGCCCCACAAAACAGCTGTTTTGCGGCGCAAGCGCTGGGAGGGAGTGGGGAGAAGCAGGACCCAGCAGCACGCTCGTGGAGGAGGCAGAGGCGGAGGTGAGCTGGAGCAGGGGGGCGGGGTCCCTCCAGTCCCGGAGCACCCACGGAGTCGTTGCCGATGCCTGTCACGCCTTCCGGCAGCTGCTTCGTCCCTGCTCACCAAGGCCAGAGACAGGAGCCGCTAGCATGCACCGGACATGTGACTTGAAGGACAGAGCAAACTGTGATGTGTGCCATTGACACACCCCGTCGGGATGGCTGGGTTTTTTGACGGAAGAGGCTGGAGAAGCATCCACGCTTGGCAGGGTTGCTCTGGTCCAGTTTGCCTGTCAGGAGCATTCACTCAGCGGGTGGCTCGCAGGGCCAGCTCAAAATGCGAACGCAACCCAACGGTCAGAATGTGAACGGCAGCAAAGAATTCGATAAGTGGCACTTACTTTGCGGGACCTCCGCCGTCGGATTTAGTCCATCTGCCGGGAGAAAAAGAGCCCCAGGGAATTACTGCTCTTCTCACCAAGCACAATGGTACCACACTCATGTGCTAGCTTCACCGTTTCAGGCCAAGCACTAGCTGCAAAGTCACTGCCCGGGCCTGACTTTCAGAAGCTCTAAATGAGGCCATGGGGGGCTGAGGAAACCTCTGAAAACAAGGCGGTGCGGCCCAGATCCTCAGAGGTATGTAGGCGCCTAACTCCCCTGAACATAAAGTCACTCTAGTCCATTGACATCTTGGAACTAGATACGAGCCTGTTTCTAAGACCTGCTTCTATGGACTGAACCCCCTACAAGCGCTCCCATGCCCACGGGCAAACGCCCGCACCTAAACGATCTCCTCTGCAGCATTGTTTTTATCAGAACCTGACCCTTTTAAGCAGAGACACCAAACAGGCTCCATCTGACGCCCCAGTTCCCCACTGAAAACGGATCCCTTGCCCAGGAGTGAAGGCCAGCTGCTACAAAGAGCATGCTCTGCAGATAACGTGCTGCCTGAGGCAGGCGCATCGTGCCAGGATTGCCTGGCTGCAGTATCTGGCCGTGACCGTATCCTGCAGGGCCCTCAACAGCCTCCTAGGCTGGAAACGGGATTGGATACTTAACTCTAGCGTTTCCCGCTCGCGAGCACCAATTGATGGTTGGGAAGTTCATAGGTTTTAAAGCCGGAAGGGCCCATTACTTTCATCGGGCCTGGCTTCCGGCATAGCAAGACCAGAAAACCTCCCGCAGGGATCTTGCATCCGGCCCAGAACTGGGCTAGAGCAAGAGAGACATCCAGTCTTGACTTAACAACTCCAAGTGACGGAGAATCCACCGTGTCGCTAGGGATTCCCCCCGGGCGATATCGCCAGAGACCCGAGAGCAGGGGGATGTTGCCATTCTCGGCAGCACGGAGCAGGAACGACACGTTATAGTCAGCTGGCACTGACGGATTGCCCCGCCGCTGCTCATTTTCCCGGGGGTTGGTGGCCCCTCCCTGGCAGACTGCCGGCTGCCTTTGGATTTCACTGGGATCAAGCCTTTTTCCTCCCCAGAAGCAAGCTGGCTGTGGTTAGCGAAGACGTTGCCCCGCCCACAGACCCAAGGGAGGGGGATTCCTTCTCCAACCCCATTCCCACGCAGGGACCTCCGGCGACGGCACTTACTTTCGTTCCTGGGGGTCCAGGTCGCAGTAGGTGACGGTGCTGAGGGGATAATGTCGTCTGAAGAACAATCTGAAACACAAGCAGAGGCCACGGTGAGCGCGTCAGATCAGCCGCTAGGCTCTGCATCCCGCACGGAGCCCCGCCCCGCCGGCCCTTCTCCCGCCACGTTTGCATCCTCCTGCCACGAGGCGGCGTTAATGAGAGGTCGCGTCCTCACACAGCCGGGCAATGCCCGCGGGTGCGGAGGCCATGGCGCCGGGTGAACGCGTGACGCCATGACTTTGCCTTGCCACACCTGAAATAGGGACGGGGGCAGGGAGCCTTTCGTTGTCCTGTTAGCTGCCAGCGAGAGGTGGATCAGACCTGAGTAAAGTGGGCCCGTCCTGGGAGCATCCAGGTACGTGATGATCCTTTCACGAGCCTGTTCCCCAGGCAGCGTTCTCTGCATGCCAAGCACTCTCTGCCCCGGTGCATGCCCCCTTCCCAGAAGCATGGGGGAGAGCTGCCAGGACTGGGAATCAAACCCTCCATTTCCCACGGCAATACCCCACCTGCCACAGTGACAGGGCCAGTACAGCCCGGGCCTTCTCAAAGACGCATAGCTCCAAACTCCCTCTTCAGTATACCCTCCAAAAACCCAAACCAAAGCCCAGCGACTCTCTGGGGTGGGAACTGAAATCAAGTCTGGATCGGACCCCGTTTCTCAGGGAACCGAGTCTCCAGTCAGATCTGTCTCTGTCTTACCTCCGTTTGTTCAGACACAGAAACCCCGTCTGCCTCCACAAGGCTCCTGAGAGTTGTGGTTAAATAGCCACAGCCACTGTATCCCAACTCCAGTCCAGCCGACCCCCCACTGCAGGACCCTATGACCCCCTGCTACCGTGATCTCCAGTGCATTTATCCTCCCACACCCGGGGGAGGCGGGACAGTGCCCCCACGCCCCATTGTACCTGAGACGCTGAGAGGAACTGACTTGCCCAAGATCACAGACAGAGCTGGGGATTGAACCTCAGTTTCCCAGCTCCCTGACTCGCACCCTAGCCATTAGGCAATGCTTCCCCCCCCACTCCTCAGCTCCTTCCAAGATCCCGGCTATTCTTCACAGGCCTCCGGTCCGGCCCTCTCCTGACAGCCTGTTCCAGCGTGACGCCAACGTCACCGCGGGTTTACGTCCGCAGAACCTGCCAGGTTCGGAGGGCAAATTCCTGCGGGGGTGGCCAGCTGCGGCCCTACCTGTTCACCCAGTTCCACCACAGCTCGTTCCGCGGTGACCTGTGTGTGCTCAATGCCGGGGTGTCCCGGCACGACACGGCCCCCACAGGAGCTGGGCCCAGGGAGGGATAGCTCAGTGGTTTGAGCACTGGCCGTCTAAACCCAGGGTTGTGAGTTCAATCCTTGAGGGGGCCACTTAGGGATCTGGGGCAAAAATCAGTACTTAGTCCTGCTAGTGAAGGTAGGGGGCTGGACTCAATGACCTTTCAAGGTTCCTTCCAGTTCTAGGAGATAGGTATATCTCCATTTATTATTTAAAAGAGAACTGGATAAATTCATGGTGGTGAAGTCCATTAATGGCTATTAGCCAGGATGGGTAAGGAATGGGGTCCCTAGTCTCTGTTTGTCAGAGGATGGAGATGGATGGCAGGAGAGAGATCACTTGATCATTATCTGTTAGGTTCACTCCCTCTGGGGCACCTGGCATTGGCCACTGTCGGTAGACAGGATACTGGGCTGGATGGACCTTTGCTCTGACCCGGTACGGCCGTTCTTATGTTCAGCTGGGGCTCTTACTTTCTCTGGTTGTCCGTCAAGGTGATTCCCTGCGCAGAGACTTTGAAGTGCACGATGGTGGCGGTGGGCGTGGGCGCCAGGGCCAGCGTCTCGCTGATGGCTTTGGCGATGGCCTGTGGGCCCGTCAGCGACTCCATCTCCACCGAGTTGATGAAGAGCACGTTACAGGCTGGAAGGGAAACACGGCGGGCGTGAGGGGACGGGGTGCAAATGGCACCAGATCCACTGCCCCAATGGGCCAGGCACCCATGCGGGAGCCAGCCCACGCTTGGCTATTGTCCTCCATCTTGGGAACTAAGCTCCAGCGGGGGGGCTGGAGAGGGGGCAGAGTGTCGGCTCTCTTGTCTCAAGACCCCCCTCTTCCAATCCCCGGCTCAGATCATGAGGGAATGTGAGGTTTGTGGCTTGCTGCCTGGTTGAGCATGTCCCAAACCCTAAAACACTGGCTCTCGGCAGCGCCCGGGGTGGACAAGAAAGCATGGGGCTGTGGGTCAAGACGGAGGGGCATCGGCAGAGCTCTCTGCGGGGGGAATCTGCGGCTAGGGTAGCAGCGGGCTGTGGGTCAAAGCGAGGGGCATGGCAGAGCTGGGGGGGGTGGGGAGCCCAGGATGGGCTGAGGGTCAGGACTGAGGCAGAGCTATGTGGGGGGGGGGAACCCAGGACTGGAACAGCAGGGAGGGCTGCGAGCTGGGATCAAGGGGCCCCAGTAGAGCTGAGTGTGTGTCGGCGGGGAGCCCAGGACTGGAACAGCAGGGGTGGCTGCCGGTCAGGCTTGAGGGTCAGCAACGGGATCCTTTATACAAACCCCAGGCCCAAGCAGCCCCAGACTTTGCAGGAGATTCGAAATCAAGCTCTGGGTCCCGGTGCCGGGGCGTGGGCTTGTCTCTAACGAGGAGGAGCAGCTTTTTGGAACCGCCCCTCAGTCATTCATGGAGCCTCACAGCCCCACCTGGAAGGGAAACAGCCTTATCCCCCAGGTGCTGAGGCACAGAGAGGGGAAGCTACCCAGCCAGGCAGTGGCACAACTGGGTGCAGAACCAAGGAGTCCGGGCTCCCCGTGCCATGCTTTAACTATTAGACCACGTTCCTTCCCTGAGCCAGGAAAGGAACCCAGGAGTCCTGGCTCCCAGTTCCATGCTCTAACTATTAGACCATGTTCCTTCCCTGAGCCAGGAGGAGAACCCAGGAGTCCTAGCTCCCAGGCTGCACTCCGATCACCAGACCACCCTCCCACCCAGTATATTTGAACATCGCCTACGTTCAGCGTAACGTTGAGGAAGCCAAACCCCGGCTATGCAATTCCAGCCTGGCACCCGCTGCCCTTCCAATGGGGGAGGAGGCTGAGGTTTCCAAGCCCTCCCTATCTCTGAATCTTTCGTAACCTAAAATAACGCCTGTGAGCTGCCTCATGGGTGCAGCCGCAGGGGCCAGCGTGGCCTGGTGGCTGTCTGATTGGAACCCAGGGCTCCCCCGGGGGCTCTAAGCGCCCCCGCTCTGCTTTTGAAGCATCCACGCTGGGCCTGCATCCCCGAGCGCGAGCAAAGTGCGTCAGGGCCACACAGTGGGTAAAAGGAAGGCGGCAGCAGTGGCGAACGCCTGCCGAAAGGCGGCAGGCGATGCAGACGGCGCTCCCTCCCGCGTGCACGCCACACCTGCAACCCTCCCCGTCACATCGCGGCCACTCACCAGCTCCTTGCTTGAGCAGGTCTGTCGCCGAGTTGGCGGCTGAGGCCGCCTCTTTCGTTTTGTCCGTGGGATCTAAAAAACAGGGAAACAGAAGGACCGTGACTCCTCCCCGACTGCGATCTGGGAATATGCGCCGCAGGGGACAGGCTGGGGCTCCAGCGACTCACTCCTACGGTGGGGACCTGCAGAGGCGACGGTATGATGGGGGAACAATGTCGCCGAGGAGCCGTACGCACTGAGCGTGTCTCCATGGGAATCTCGATCGGCTGCCCTCTCAGTCGAAGTCATGACGTCGTGTTTAGGGTGCGGATCAGAATTTTCCCGGGGATGGGGGGAGTTTGGATCCGGGAGGGCTGAGGGACCTAATCCCAAAGAGGGGTTGTAAGCGCTTTCTATTCTGGGTTTGTACAGTTCCAAGAACAATGGGGTCTGGTCACAGACTCATAGAGGGGGTTAGGAAGGGCCACAAGGGTCATTTGGCCTAACCCCTGCCAAGATGGAGGATTTGTTCTGTTTTACCCATCCATCCATTACCCTAGGGCCTGGGAGCTGCAGTCCTGGTCCAGGACTCCTCCTAGGCCCCATGGTAACACAAATAATACTAATGAGATGGACGGGTCCTGAACATATTACTTGACACACATTGCTTCTGCCAGGGGACACCGACTGCTGAGCTTGGGTCCTGGCAGAGAAGTAAAGAAGGAACCGAATCCGCAACATCTCCGGGGTAAGACACACTGGGATCTTGTGGGGACACAAGGTGGGATCTTATAAAGCTTTCCAGTCCCGCCCTTCGGTGCTGAGTGGGGTCAAAAATCCATCCAGCCCCAGCCCCGGTGCATCCCCCGTGCCTCCTACCTCGGTCGGGAATGACCAGCTTGCAGGGCAAGGCCAGTGGGATGATGGAGTGCTGGTACACCAGAGCAGACAGGCATCCTGGGGAGAGAGCCCGACAGGGAACGCGGTCAGTGCGAGCGCTGAGGCTGGGGCATTGGCAATAGACCGGGGACGTTCCTTCCCCATCAGCTAACAAGCCATCCACTGGCTTCTCCACCTGTTCGCTTTGGCCCAGAATCCCCTTAGTCCTGAGTAGCCCCGGTGACTTCACTGGCACTGTGTGAGTAAGGGGGATACTCAGGGGAGCAGACCGGCTCTGTCCTTTCCAGTGTCTCCCACCTCCCCGTGTCCTGGAGTTCACTGGTGTTCCTTGTTCTCCTGCCTTCCGGTAAAAAGAAGCTTATGCTCTAATAAATTTGTTAGTCTCTAAGGTGCCACAAGTACTCCTGTTCTTCTTTTTGCGGATACAGACTAACACGGCTGCTACTCTGAAACCTGCCTTCCGGTAGGAGCCCCGCCCAGGGCGAGGCCAGGGGAGGTAAACCCAGCCCCGTCTCCCTCGTCTCCTCGAACCCAGCTGTGACGTTTCCATGGGCGATTTTAACACCCGGCGTGAGTTAATTCTAGACGACCGGCTGCATGTGGAGCTCCCCTTGCTGCTTGCCCAGCCGACCCTCCAGACAGCAGGGATGAGGGACATGGGCTTTCCGGGTTAGGGTCATTGAACCCTGAACGTCAGGCGCTAGTTTACAGAGGGATCAGTCTCTCTCCGGCCCTGTCCTGAGTCCAAGCGGCAGCTGGAGGCTATCAGTGACTGTGGCTCTCCTCGGCTCCGGAGAGGGGTCATACAAACACCCGCACTGGCAGCGCACAGCAATCCCATCTCCAGAGCCCATGGAGCCAGCCACCTTTCCCTAACCGTCAGCAACCGTCCCTATCCTCTCTTCTGAGCAAAGGGGACCAGGGAAACCAGCCGAGCGAGGCCAATACACGGGCCTTGTAAACAGCCAGGAGATGTTGGCATTCAAACCCAGCTCTGAGCAGGGGGCGGAGTTCCATGGAGTGGGGGAGGCGGGGTGGCCTTTCCCTGCCCTCTTTCCACCCCAGCGAGATGGAGAATTTCCTGTGTTCCCCAGAGCACAGGGATTGTGACTGTCTCTGGCTTTGCACAGGCTCCAGGTTCTCTCCCCTCTAGCATGTCTCGCATTCCCAGCCCGGAGTGGCTAATGCATCCTCCCTACACAACTGTGAGGTGAGGCCTTGTTATCAGCCCTTCTTGCAGATGGGGAAATATTAAGTGACGTGGCCAGGGTGAAACAAGCAGTCAGTGGCGGAGCTGAAGTCGCTGGCGCTCTGCCAGCTCACACCAGTTGAAGATCTGCCCCATTAACAGAACAACCTGGAGCTAGGGAACCAGACCCCCCTAGTGAAACTGATCATAAGCAGAAAGTGACACTGACTAGACTACTTTTGGTGCCTGAACTGAGTGGAAAAAATGTAAAGAGCATCAGATCTGACAGAGGAGCTAGATTTATGACCGTGCGTTCAGATGTAATGATCAGCAGCGTTTGTATCGCGACACGGAAGGGAACCGTTATTAAGACAGTGGAACCTCAGAGTTACAGACACCTCGGGGACGGAGATTTACAAACATTTCAGCGTTACACTGTGCAAAGCGTTCTGGTGGTTCTTTCAAACGTTTACAACTGAACATTGACTTCAGACAGCTTTGAACCTTTACTGGGCAGAAGAAAAATGCTGCTTTCCCTTTATTTTTTTAGTGGTTTACATTTAACACAGCCCTGTCCTGTATTTGCTTCTTTCCCCCCCCCCCCTCTCTGCTGCTGCCTGATTGCGTATTTCCTGTTCCAAATGAGGTGTGTGGTTGGGTTTGCTCTGCTGTTCATAACTCTGAGGTTCTACTGTCTATTGGATTTTCCTCCAGCTCCTTTTGATCTAAACGGGAATGATGTTTGCACACCCCAAGTACAGAGGGCTGCCAACCCTCCAGGATTTAAAGCTTAACCTTGAATTAAAGATTACGTCATGGGATGAAACCTCCAGAGATTTGTCCAACCAAAACTGGCCACCCTAAGAGAGGACCCAGCTTTACTGTCGTTCCGGGATGTCTGGGTTGCCAAACTCCTGGTTAGCGTGTGTCTGGGTTTGGAGGGGGTGTGTGTGTGTGAGTGCACATGTGTGTCAATGTCTGGGAGATGCTTTTTGGCCTCTGTTCCAAATGCCCACAGGAGACCCCAAATCCAGTCATGCCTGTGACGATTCCTATCAATACCGCTTACTCCCCACAAGGGGGCGACGCTGCCACAGGGCACCGAACGGTCCTAGGGCTGAACAGGGGAGGAGAGGTTCGTTGCCACTTACCGAAGTTGGGCTCGTTGGGGCATCCTTTTAGCTTCACCCCCCGCGGGCTGGTCTCGATCAGGAAGTGCCTCACCAGCTCATTGGTTATATCTCCTGGGGGGAGGGAGGACGACGTCACTCCAGGCCCCTCCTGAAGCCAACCCCCTTGTGCCCCCCAGGACAACAGGCCCTGGACCAGCCTGGCCCCTTCGGATGAACATCCCACCAGTGCCCGCTGGGTGATCCGGGCCCCAGGCTCTGGGGAGCGAGAGCCCCGTGGGGTGCTGTGGTTTGCTGTCCCCGGGGGCGAGCAGGCTGGTTCCAGAGGGAGCAGAGCAGAGAAGGACTCCCAGCTGGTGCAGCTCGGCCGGAGAGTGAGTCAGCAGCCAGCCGGGGGCCTCCTTTCAAATCCCCCCCACAGGCTGCATGAAAGAGGCAGGTTCTGCGCTCCAGGCCCCAGTGGCATACGTCTGGGCTAACTCCACTGACTTCCCTGGGGTCACTCCAGTTGGCACTGGGGTAGGTGGGAGGGGAGGCCGGTCCATAGAATACTATTCAAGGCTGCAGCCCAGGGGTGCTTGGGACCGGACACTTAATCCCCAGTGTAGGGTGTCCCCATTTTATAGGGACAGTCCTGATATTCGGGGCTTTTTCTTATGTAGGTGCCTATTACCGCCCACCCCCTGTCCCCATTTTTCGTATTTTCTATCTAGTCACCCTACCCCAGGTCAGAGAGGGCCGCAGCCGAGAGAAAGGGGACCACGCCCGTGGGCTCTTTGCCAACGAGGGCACAGAGACACGCTCAGCTGGCAACCCTCGGCCTGGATCTAGGCTCCCACGGGCTTCGGCTCAGGCCGGCCGAGAGTTAAACGCCCTGCAAACCAGGCGGGTTCCTGCCGCCTCAGCACATACCCAGCTGCGCTCCGCTGCCCCGAGCTGCCCCGTGCTCAGGCAGCGGCACAATGGAGGGGAAGTGCCGTGTGCTCCCTGGGGCTGGCGCGCGGGGGCGGGCGACAATACCTTTCTTGTTCTGCTGCAGGATGGTGGGAGGCGGAGAGGCTACTTTCATGGCCAGCCCGTAGGCTCCCCGGAAGGAGTGGCTGTCTCGGATGATGAAGGCTCCGGGCTCCCTGTCCTTCAGTAGTGTGATGGCTGGGAAGGGAGAGGAGCGCAGGAGTCAGGACGTGCAGCGAGACAGCTATGGCGCCTCCGAGCACGGAGCAGCGGCCCGGGAAAGGCAGAATGCTACACTGGGTGAGTTACACAGTGTCGCTGCAGCCGGGCTGATCTCAGGACATGAGAGAGACAAGATGGGGGAGGTCATATCTTTTAGTGGACCAACCACAACCCAGACTCAAGGAGGACCCCATCCTGAAAGAAATCTTTCCTGAACCCCCACTTCCGAGCTTCCAACAACCCTCCAACCTCTCCACGCTCATTGTCAGAACCAAGCTCCCCACAGACCAGGACACACCAACTCCAACGGCACCAGACCCCGCCAGAACAGCAGATACAAAACCCGCAGCCATAAAACTGATCGACGCCTTCCAAGATCCATGGGTCCTACCCGTGCCTAGCACATGTGCTGCACCCCATCCAATAACAATGATGTGGGAGGAACCAGACAATGACTGCGCTCTCGAATGAACGCGCACAGGAAAATGATCAAAGACCAACACACCCTATCACCTGCGGGCAAACACTTTCCACAAAGCGATCGCTCTAGGTCTGACCTCTCTGTCCTCGAGCACAACGCTTTTAAAAGACAAGCCTGCGATCTTCAATTCATAACTCTGCTAGCCACTAAAAACCATGGACTGAACAGAGATGCTGGATTTGGGGTTTATTACAACCATCCGAAATCCACTATCCCCCCCCTTTATGTCCTACGACTGCAGGGGTGTTAACGGGGCACTCTACCTTGAACGGTTCCTCACAGTATGTGCTGACTATCTGTCCCACCTTGCCTTTAGCTGGGACACTCAGAGTACCTTTCCCTGCCCGGCTTGAAAGCTTGTCTGTCTCTCCAACAGAAGTCGACCCAATAAAAGAGATCACCTCCCCCACCTTGTCTCTACAATGGGCGAGGCACCGACTTGGGAGCCAGGCGCTGCTGGGCTCAAATCCGTCCTCTCCTTTGGACACGTCACTTGATTTCTCAGACACGGCTGCCAAACATTAAGCATCCCCCTCCCCCCATCCCTCTCTGTAGTAAGTGGGGACCATCACCATAGTATCTTGGCATGTGCAGAGGTGTTATTCTTATTTATTATTGATATTTACTGTAGCACCGAGGTGCCTGCGTCCTGGCCAGGACCCCAGTGCGCTTGGTGCGGTACAAACAGAACAAAAATTTGGCTCCTGCTTTCCAGCCAAGAATAAGACAAGAGACAACAGCTGGATCCAAGCAACGGGTGAGGGGGACAAGGCCACCGGCAGGATGGGCAGCGGTAGCAGCACTCCAGCGTTCTTGCCAGCTCTCAGTGCGTGCAGGCCGTCTGAATGTCGGCCCTGCACGTACCTGTTACAGAGATGGGCTCCGAGCGTTACCATCCCCCAAGATCTGATAATGTGGCCTCAGTTTCTCCTTGTGCCTCAGTTTCTCCTTGTAACAACGAGATCATAAGAATCACCTACCGACCTCCTGGGGCCAATGGGCTGTGAGATCTGGTACCGTTTGAGCACATTAAGTACTGCCACCAGCCGAGGCTCTGCGAGTGCTTTACAAATATTAATTAGCTGCTAGTTAATTTCACCTCCCCGTGAGGTTAGCAGTAGTATCATTTTCCAGTCTGCAGAGAAGGGGAACTGGGAAACAATGTCACCAGTCTGGGGTGACACGTAGCGAGTCAGGGATAGAACCCAGGTGCCCTGACTCCCAGCCCCCTCTCCGAGATCACCTCCCGTTTTTCTCAATGGGGATATTGTCCTTTGCGTCATCAGCCAAGGGGGGCGGGGAAGGAACAACAGACAGAATGAGGCAATAAAGGTGGTTCTGGGCCAGGTTGTGGGGCTGAGGTGTTTGGGCTCCCACATGTCAATGGAACCGGCATTAGGGAAAATGAACCTGTCGGTGGCCAGGTAGCTGGTGTGTTCTGGCTGCAGACGAGAGGATCCCAATGGCCTGCTTTGGCCTTAAAATGCACCAATCTGCGCCTTGTGCCACCCCAGTCCCTGAGCTGTATGTCCCCGGCCTCTCGTCACATACTCAGATTGTCTTTGGGACAGGGCCTGCTGTTCGCCATACACCTGGACAGAGCCTAGCAGGCCCTGGGGGCCTGGATTCTGGACGGGGGTGTCTGCGCACTGCCACAACACAGGTCAGCAGGAGTAATTAACACTCCAAGATCTCTGCCATGTCACGGGGGTCCTGCCCCGGCGGAAGGAGCCGCTGAGCTCTCCCACGGGGGATCGGCAGGGATCGAGCAAATGCACTGACACACAGACGGGCTTTTTATCCCAGCCGGCAGCCTAACCCAGTGGTTCTCAACCCAGGATACATGTACGCTTGAGGGTACGCGGAGGTCTTCGGGGGGTAGGTCAACTCCTCCAGAGATTGGCCTCATTGTACAACAGGCTAAAGAAAAAGCACCAGCAAAGTCAGGGCAAATTAAAATTTCATACAGACGATGACTTGTACACCACACACTGAAATGTCAGGACAATGTTTATATCCCAGTTCAGTTCTTTGATAATGATCTGGTAAAAATGAGCAAGTCGGCCATTTGTCAGTACTAGTGCGCGGTGACATGGTTGTATTTTTCGATCAGATTTTGTCAGCAAGTTGTTTTGAAGTGCGGTGTAACTTGGGGTACGCCAGACAAATCAGCTTCCTGAAAGGGGGACAGTCGCCTGGAAAGGTTGAGAGCCCCCGGCCTCACTCTTCCTCCAGGCAGACTGCGAGCCCGGGGCACATTGCAGCCATAGGTGCCGACTCCGTGGGTGCTCCGGGGCTGGAGCACCCACGGGAAAAAATTGGTGGGTGCAGCCAAGCTCCCGGCCCGCCGCGCCCCAGCTCACCTCCACCTCCTCCCCTGAGCATGCGGCATCCCCGCTTCTCCCCCTAGCTCCCAGCGCTTGCCGCCGCGAAACAGCTGTTTCGCGGTGGCAAGCGCTGGGAGGGAGGGGGAAGGAGGGAGAACACAGCGCACTTGGGGAAGAGGAGGGGCCTGGGCGGGGATTTGGGGAAGGAGTCCAATAGGGGCAGGGAGGGGGCGGAGTTGGGGCGGGGACTTTGGGGAAAGGGTTGGAATGGGGGCGGGGCAGGGGCAGGGGTGGTGGCGGGGCCGGGGGCGAGGGGGGCGTCGAGCACCCACCGGCGCCAGGAAAAGTTGGCACCTATGATTGCAGCTTCCAACACACCAAGAGCTGAAATTTGCATCCAGAGACAAACTTTGTAGCTTCACCCTATCCAAGGTCCCTCCTGCCGGCCTCCCCATCATCTTGTCCTGTGTATGTCAGGTGCTTAGCTGGCCCCCTCACCAGAGTATCGGAGCTCCTGACCGTCTTTGCCATATCTATCCTCACAACCCCCTGTGAGGTGGGGCCGTGCCGAGGTACAGATGGGGACTGAGGCGCACTCACAAGGCCCAGGTTTGTAAAGGTATGTAGGCAGCACTGTGCTCAGCGGTGCAATGCCTAACTGACTTAGGAACCTACACCTCATTTTGAAAAGGGATTTAGGCACTTACGCGCCTATATCAGATTGATGGGCAATAGGATATGTGCCTAAATCCCTTTTGAAAACGAGACAAGCGGTAACGGGCTTAATCTGTAGCAAGGGACAGTTAGGTTAGTTACTCGGAAAACCTTTGTCATGGTGAGGGGTGGTTCAGGATCGGCTGCCCAGGAAGGTTGTGGGATCCCTGTCACGGGAGGTTTTTAAGACCAGGTTGGACAAACCCCTGTTAGGGATGGTCTGGGTCTCCTTGGTGCCAGGGGCTGGACTTGATGACCTCTCGAGGGCCCTTCCACCCTACAGTTCTGGGATTTGATGACTTGCCCGAGGTCACAGAGAGTGTCTGTGGCACAGCAAGGAACTGAACCTGGGTTTCCTGGGGCCTAGACTAGGGCCAAACCATCCTTCCTCTCTCCCATTACCTGCCACCTACCCACAACCTTTTCCCAAGGAGCCGCTTCCTCAGACAGCCCCATTGTCTCCTCTTCCCTGAGCCTGCCGCAGAGGTTCACCGGGAAACGGGGCTGGTCACAGACCGTGACGTCATTTCTCTGCTGCAGGGAAGCGGAGAGTCCTAGCCGAATGCAAATACTGGCAACATTGCCAGCGGGAACAGAGACAAGCCCTGGCCAGTCGCTACCTCTCTGCAGGGACAAGCTCTCGGTACCAAGGCAGGCGTCCCTCTGGCATGCCAGTCAGGGGGTGTTGCAATGTGGGGAGAATGCCCCCAAGTGAGTTAACAATGCCCACTTGCAGAGGGCTGAGACGGGTCGAGAATACTGCACTGGATCAGTGACACAGCTCCAGCACCACCAAGAGGGTCGGGGATTGGCTGCTGGCGGGGAGGAGGGGAAGAGATCGGGAAGTAATCCTGCCATAATGCCGGGATGTGGGCAAAATGATCCAGGACTGGGATAACCCACGCGGGTCTCAGAGACAGCACACGCCTGCACACTGATTCCCAATTCCCATCGCCCCCCTCCCCGCTGCTGCTTTGTCACCGGGGCTGGCTACTCACCCTGCTCCCTGGAAATCTCCGGCTTGTACCAATACTTGGAGGTGTCCTGGACAAACTTCACGTTGGCCCGGGTCTCGGGGCTGCTGTCTGAGAGCGGGGAAGGAGAGGAACAATCAAGGGAAGCATTCGAGACATGTTTAGAGCCGCTCCAGATTCACAATCCAGAGGGATCTCAAGGTGCAGCCCTCCCAGAGAACAGGACAGGAACAGATGCTCTTACTGGTCTCGTTTAGCCGCATCACTTTGAAAGTATAAATATTTTAATCTTCCTTTAACCCTTGTAAATATCCTGAGCCCACCTCTAATTCCATCTAGAGCTCACAAGGGCCCCGAGCGGGCAAACACTTAGGCATAGGCTTCAACATTGATGGGGATACTCATATGCTGAGAATTAAGCATGTGCCCAAGAGTTTCAAGGATCAGGGACATACATGGTAACAGACTAACCCAGGGGTGTCCAACCGGAGCCTGAGAAGGAGCCAGAATTTACCAATCTACATTGCCAAAGAGCCACCGTAATACGTCAGCAGCCCCCCATCAGCTGCCCCCCCCCCCGCCAGTGCCTCCCGCCTGCCAGCAGCCCCGCCGATCAGCGGCTCCCTCTCCCGCCCCATGCCTCCTGCCCGCCACAATCAGCGGTTTCGTGGCATGCAGGAGGCTCTGGGGGGGAGAGGGGAGGAGCGAGGGCACGGCAGGCTCAGGGGAGGGGGCGGGAAGGGGTGGAGTGGGGGCAGGGCCTGTGGCAGAGCCAGGGGTTGAGCAGTGAGCACCCCCGGCACAGTGGAAAGTTGGCACCTGTAGCTCCAGTCCCGGAGTCGGTGCCTATACAAGGAGCCGCGTATTAACTTCTGAAGAGCCGCATGCGGCTCCGGAGCCCCAGGTTGGCCACCCCTGGACTAACCTGTCAGGTGCGCCGAGACCGGATGGCTTATGGCCTAGGACACTACGTGCTGGTCCTATCAAAACACAGGACTAGTTCTTAGCTGCACGGATTTCAGGGGATCTGCACTGGGCACCACCAGTTGAGGGGTCGCCTGTAACAAGCGCGGGTCGGGACATTTCCGCCAGACTCTGATGAAGCAGACAGAGCCCCTTGACAAAATGCTTCTCCAGAGAGTGCTGGATTCAGCTTTGCGCCGCAGGCGGCCAGGCAAAGGACTATATCAGACCGAGTCGCTTTGACCTCATTGTCTGCAAGCTGTTGGGTTTTTGACATAAACTGCACGGTGGTTCTTCCTTTGATGCTCGCTCTGGATTTTCCTGTTTTGATTCCGACAGCTAATTTTAGAAGAAGGAAAAGAGGGGGGTGGACCTGGGCCCCACCGGTGACTCCTATATATATATATCCTGACGTCGGAAGTAAATCGAAGCAGATACGCAACCCCTACCATTCCCAGCAGCTCTGTGAACTGCAGGGCACACGCATGCAGGAGGTTGTACCAAAGAGAATCCCAGAGCAGTGGTAGGCAGGCCAGTAGCGCTGGGACCAGAGTAATAACTGTCCACGCGTTCCTGGTGAAGGAGTGCAGCGAGCAGGAAATAATCTAGCCCCTGTAGGTGGAGGGTGCTGTACAGATGCCCGGGGATAAGAGTGGAGCGTGCCCGTTCTGTGGATCGCAGCACGTAATCTTAAGAGAGCGAGGAGGGAGCAGTGTGCTGAGGGGCTGGACAGGATCCTAAATACATCAGACACTCTCTCCAGAGTCCCAACCCCCAGGCGTCTGCCCCACGCTCTAGGGTTCCCACTCTGCAACGGGCGAGCCCCTACCTGGCAGCGAGAGTTTGGAGAAGTCAGGCAGGGTGTGCGGGTACGCCACGCTGCTCCCGCTGCTGGGGCTGGACATGCCGCTGGAGACGGGCGAGGACATCTTGCCATTCACCGTGGCGTAGTTAGGCAGGCTGTTGGACCGCTCCCCGGCCGACATCCTCCTCTTCTCGGGCAGCAGCGGCTGCGGCGTGGGGCTGCCCTGCCGGTAGGTGGCGGAGTCCGGGGAGGAGGACTGCGGGCTGCTCAGGCCAGGATAGTAGGCCGGGGAGACGGGGAACGACGGGGTGGAGGGGGGCTGGTACCCCGAGGCGCTGCTTTGCCGGGACAGCGTGGGACGCTGCTCCTCCGGGGTGGAATAGCCATACATGATGTGCCTGCCCAGGCCGGGGCTCCCGGGAGCGGCCGCCACGCCGGAATTGAGTGGTCTTCGCCCGAAGCCGGGGCTTGGCGGCGTGTTGGTGGCCACCGTCCTTTGAAGGGTGTGGGGGCTCCCCGGCAGGACGTGAACACCCACCACGCTGACCTGGGGCTGCGGCCTCGCGCCGGCTCGGCCATCGGGGTACTCGGGGCTGGCATAGCCCCCCTGGCTGAAGGACGCTGGCGAGGCGTTTTGGTAGCTGCTGTGTGCCGACGGCGCCTGGAAGCTGGACTCGGCCGAGGGCCGCGGGGGCGTGGCGGTGCTGTGGCCGCTGCTCTCGGACGGGTAGCTGCGGATCGACACCCTGGGAAAGGCAAGAGGAGAAGAGCTCAGCTCGCAGCGCTCCCGGCCAGGCTCACGGCTGCCTGAGTCAGTAACTGGCCTCCCTCTGGGGCACCTCACCGTAGCCTCAGGGCACCTCATGTAGGTGAGTCACCACAGCCCACCTGAGGCACTGGGAGAGCAAGACCCAGATCCTTAAAGGCCCATTGATTTCAGTGGGCGTTAGGTGGCTCGATACCGTTGAGGATCTGGTGTGAGTAACTTGCCCAAGGCCACCTAGAAAATCTGTGGCAGAGCCGAGGATCAAACCCAGACCTCCCAAGCCCCCACTTTGTTGTCCGAGCCACAAGATCACCCTCCCTTTGCTGTGGAATTGGCTCCTTCGGGCCCCAGATGCTTGTGCCAAGGCCCCATTTTCCAGCATCCCAGCTTAGCATCTGGCTGCAAACTGCTGTCGGGGTGTGCCCAACCCAGACCTGCCCTCTGGAATACCCGCCGGCCGGCTGGAAACACAGGTAGGAACAAAGCAGCCATTTACCGCCTCGGCAGCTTAGGCGGGAAGCTTTGAACCTTTGTTCCTCTCTATCTAGCCTGGAAACATGGGTCTGCCCCTGCCCAACCCAGCAGCACTGTGCCATCTCAAGACAACAGGAAGAACTTTACAACCCGAAGGATCCTGCAGAGTGTTAGACAAATACATCATGATCGTACAAGTCAGCACCTGGCCCCCGAGGATTCAGGTCCCTAACTTGCACTGATGCTAGCGGGCGTTAGATGTCTGAATAGCTTTGAGGATCTGGGCCCGAGCTCTCAAGGTGCTTTCAAAGGAGAGTATGTTTCCTTCTAGAGATAGCACAGATAGGGAAACAGGCACGGAGCGGCCAAGTGACCTGGCCAGGTGAAGCAGCGACCCAGTTCCCCTGACTTCCATTCCCAGTGCCCTGTCTACTGGATCACGCTGAAACAAACGATCGACGCCTACACTGAAATGCAGCCATCCTTCACCTCTGGGGAGGAACCCGGCAGCAGCAGTACATAACCGTCTACGGAACCTTCTCCTACAAGGGCAGGATGCTTCCAGCAGGGAGGCCGATGCCTACGTACCCCTGGTCTCTGACTCTGTCTATGGTAGGCAAACAGCTCGGCCTGTGGAGGGAAGAGAGAGCAGAGCGGGCTGCTCGTCCCTCTGAGCCATACGTGATGGGACTGATGCCCAGGCACCCTGGTGATGGTGACACCTTCCGAAGAAATTCATAATACCACGCAGCTCAGGAGGGATGACTGAACTGCAGAAGGAATTAGATCGGGGTCGGCAAATGTTTTGGCCCGAGGGCCACATCAGGGTATGGAAATTATATGGAGGGCCATGAATGCTGACGAAATTGGGGTTGGGGTGCGGGAGGACTCTGGCTGGAGGTGCAGGCTCTGGGGTGGGGCTGGGGATGAGGAGTACGGAGGGTGGGAGGGGGCTCTGGGCTGAGGTCGAGGGGTCAGGGGTTGGGGCGTGGCGGGGGCACTCAGGGGTGCAGGCTCCGGGCTGCGCTTACCTCAAGAAGCTCCTGGAAGCAGCAGCATGTCCCCCTTCCAGCCAGCTCCTACACGGAGGTGCAGCCAGGCGGCTCTGCGTGCTGCCCCATCTGCAGGCGCCGCCCCTGCAGCTCCCATTGGCTGCAGTTCCCAGCCAATGGCAGCTGTGGGGGCGGTGCTTGGGGCGGGGGCAGCAGATGCTGCTTCCGGGAGCCGTGCGGAGCACAAGCCCCAGACCCCACTCCCCAGCAGGAGCTCGAGGGCCAGATTAAAATGGCTGATGGGCCGGATGCGGCTCGCGGGCCGTAGTTTTCCCACTCCTGAATTAGAGACGGAATCTGCAGCACCTTGGAGCATTCAGAGGAAAATGCCACGGCGGCTTCAGCGCCCACTGGTGGTCGGGGCCTTGGGTTTTTGTCTCCTGGGTTCCCCTGATGCCCGACTGATTGGTCACCCGGGCCTGAGCAGGGACCGGCCCCCCATTGCGGCCACGCGCCTGAGCGTGTCCTTAGTCAAAACCACACAGAGCAGCCCTGGGGGTGGCCGGCCCCCCCGTGGTTCACAATGAGCCCAGCAGGCGCTAAGGGGAAACACTGGGTGTGCAGGAGTCGGTCAGTTGCTTGGGACCTGATCCTGCACAATGCCCTGGCGCTGGGCACCCCCAGATCTCACTGGCTTCGGAGGGAGGCTGTGGGGTAAGTTGGAAAGGGGCTTTGTGCATGGCGAGCGAACACCTCACTCGCACACAATCCAACATGCATGCACACACATGCACATATAACCCTACATGTGTGCATATGCACACCTCCCAAGTGCACACGCAATCACACATACACCCATGTTCCCCCTACACACAACCAGCTACACGCACACCCTTCCCAAACTGTCTCGTACACACCCACCCTCTCTTCGACTACTCACATCCTCATTCACACACACAACCCCCCTCACACCCGCACAACCACAGGCCCTCTCTAATACACACGGAAAAGCCACATACACACACACACACACACACCCCACAACCACCACCCCCACATCCATGTCCCCCTAGACACAACTACCTACACACATGCACCCATGTCCCCACCAGACACAACCCCCCAACACACCCATATCCCCCCAGACACACCCTCCCCCCCACACCCTCATGTCCCCCTAGACACAACTACCTACACACATGCACCCATGTCCCCACCAGACACAACCCCCCAACACACCCATATCCCCCCAGACACACCCTCCCCCCCACACCCTCATGTCCCCCTAGACACAACTACCTACACACATGCACCCATGTCCCCACCAGA